CCATTTAATTTTATTGAAGTCAGAAATTTAACTCAATCATCACATTCAAACTTTTTCAGATTTAAAGGAAGTTCGGGACCATTGCCAACTTTAGGCATAATTTGTGCTCTGTAAAGTATTTTCATGTCTTAATATTTTCGCAACAATTTTCACTAAAACAAATCAGAATTTGTCATGCTTTATACAAATATAACTGACATAAAAGTCATCTCACTTAATTTCATACGATTAAATGAGGCTATCAACATTAATCAAAATTAGTATAATTTCAACAAGATGTGAAAATTTAACCAACTCATTTACCATGTCATATTTCATATTCCAATAAAAGAATAGTCATGAAAGTTTATATACTTTCACAATTAGTTGGCATCTATTCCAGTAACATTGGAGTTGTACCAATGACCAATATATATAGATCCTATTTAAATATATACATGTCATATTATTTGATAGGATAATCAAGTTGATGATAGATTACGAAATTGGATTTGAAAATGCATTTAGAAAATGAAGAATTATCATTTAATAAATTGTCTTAAAAACCACATGCACTTTTTTCAAAATAAACCAACTTCATGGTCCTTAACTAATTTATGGAAAGAGATGTGTTGACAGTCATATATATTGATTAACAATTGCAACCATGTGCAATATATAATACTTCACTTTCATCATATACTAAACAAATGGATGACATGAACACTTGAGACACAATTCATATAATCTGGTGACACAATTCATATAATAACATAATAGTTTCTCATGTATGCATAAGTATTTTTTTAAAAAGTTGCACAGAACCCCACCAAGTATAAAACATAAATCGGTGTCGAGTTTATGCAATCAAATTTAATACTTTGTTCATGCAAACAGAATAATGAAAAATATAAATGTACGAAAACAAAATTCATCTTACGATTGTTGGGGAATACACAGATTATGTGTATATTATATTCATAAAAGCATACCGTTTATTTGCTTGAAATCGAAACGTAATTTCGACTTATCAAAATACAATTTGAAAAGCAAAACAATAATAGTTACTGAATCCAAATGCATGAATATGGATTCATCTTTTTCGATTCTTGAACAAAAGCAAGTTATTCTTTTGAATCAAACCTCGCAGAACAAACATATAAATAATGTTAATCAGTTTTTGAAATCAAATTATAATTAAGAGAAATCAGAAAATGAAGGAAGAAAGATGCAAATAATGAATTTTTGGTCGATGTAAGTGTTTGACACTTGGTCTTTAGGATGAATTTGCCCCACGTCGGTGTTAACGGTTTTTCGACAATCATCTCCCACGATACAACGATCATGTCAAACCATAGGAGCACTCCAAATGGCTTCGACTAACGAACTCGAACGGAATTCCCTCTCTACCAAGGAAATGCATGAAAATACTATGGAATTAGAAATGAGAGAATTGCAAGAGGAGAATGAATGCTCAATGCAATTGATGTACCCAAAATCATGTCCATATGGTCCTATTTATAGATATAGAAAGGGTGCAAATGAAGTAGTGTGGGCCAAAACATGTATCCTTTTGAAAAGTTGCAACACTTTGTCAAAACATGCATCCTTTCGAAAAGTTGCAACACTTCATTTCTTCCAACTTTGGTCCGCAATTTCTCATTCATCCGGAATTGGTTTCTAGATTCCAAATATACCACGACGATCTACTCGACGAGTAGAATAAGTTGGTCTATTTACTTTTGTAATTTGACCATCGGATCAAGTTCGAATATTTGGTCGAAGTTGACACGTAGTCACACTTTTTCATTTTTCACTTTTACACACCTTTTCATTTTCCAATTTTTGGTTAATTATTTGAACCAATTCCGACACTACTAAAGAGCATAATGAATAGAGGTGAACATAAGGGTTCATATCATTAAATTTTGGTATGATTTTTATTAGTTATTATGGATATTTATGTCTCCCCCAAAATATTTGATATTTGGGTATTGCATAAATTAAATCCGAACTAAAACAATTAGAAAGTGCAATGTGTTTCGATGCTCATAAAAGTGTCACACAAACACCTCAAATAATGTATTTATCGTGGAGGGTGTTTTTGGTGAACATTGAATATAACCGAAATGCAACAAAAATCTTTGGCTCTTTAATGGTATCATATTTCTAAGTCAATACTTGATTTGACTCTTCTCATTCATTGACATGGATATCTAAGAATGGAACAAAAAGATATGTGGTGACTTGATATTGGGACGTGGAAACTATGGAATCACATAAATTCCTCATCAATTTCTATTTGAATTATGCAGTTTTATATAGTTGTGTACATTGTCTATGAAGTCAAGGCTCAAGGGACTCGATGGCCAAGGCCCTCCAAGAACATAATGATTTCTTAATACTTATTACCATAAGTGGAGGTCCTTCAAAGGCAATATATCCCTAGGAAAAAAAATCGATGTTTTGGAAATCAGCATAGCTCAACTAGGTGAAAAGTTGAAAATTAGTTTTCTCGATTACGTTTTTAATTTTTTTGAAAATTTTAAGCTGAGTTACATATTTCTTCTTGAACCTTTGATATTTGTGGAAGCTGTCTCACTTATGCATCCTTTAATATGTTTTATATCATGTTAGTTTTGACATACAATTTTCCCAAAAACCATGAATTTAATTAAAAAAATGTCAAGCCAAGAAATAGTTAACATTTTCAATTTGGATAGACTTAAATCCAAATATTCTTCTTTGATATTTCTCTATTGGATCGAAAATAAATTCTTTTATTATAATTTCAATATTTTGTATAGCACAAAAAGGAATACAAAATCAACACCATTAAAAAGTTTGTCACCAAGTCATCACTAGAATACTATTGCTTTCTAAGAAGAACGGTTTAGCCCTTGTTTGATTTTTATTCTTTGAGAACCACTAAGATAAAGAAGTTTAATAAAGATAGACCACTATACAAGATCTAATATTACTATCTTAGGGTACGTTATTTCTTCGATGGGACATTCTCTCCCACAGTCATTTTCAACCATACAAATTTTAAAATAATAATAATTTTCACGTTTTTCTTAACTTTCTTAACCATGCATCCATAAAAACACAATTCAAAGAATCACTTCTCAAAAAATCAAAATCAAACAAGTGATTTCGTAAAAGTAATTTTTTGAACAATGGGTGAAGAAAAGTAGGAAAAAAAATATAAGAAAATGTTAAAAATAATTTTTTTGAAAAATGTATAATTAAAAATAAGTGCAATAAAAAAGTGATTTTGAAATACTAGCTTATGTATAAAGATATTTCTAAGCATTTTTCCCAATCATGCTACTTACTATAGCAACGGTTATCACCTGCCAATATGATAGTGGGCCTAATCGTTGTGCAAGTGACATTGCCATCATCGCAGTATTCAATAAATAAAGATATATCGCAACTTCATTTTCTCATGGTACTACTCTAGGGACCAATTTTTGTCCTGAAAATTGACCATTAAAGGTAAAGTTTTCTTGATTCGACTTTGAAAGGGGAACCAAAGGAAATATTAAAGGGACCATCACATTAATGGGAGAAAAAATATTGCAACATCATCCAAAACTGGAGGTAACTAACTGGATACATGTCCATAAAAATATTTATTTAACCATGCACCAACTTAGGAAGCTAATTAAGGGATTCAGAGGCATTAATTCTGGTGTCCCAACTACTAGAGCTCATTACCTAGAAATCGTCCACATTAATTGCCAGGGAAATTCGATTCCACCAGAACACGTTACATACGTCAATAATTTCTATTCTGCAAGGAAGATAAGCTTGTTTCCTCAGTTGCAGAACAATAAACCACTATGTCTAGTCGACAGTAACATGAATGAAAGCCCTGATGAGAAAATATCTCCGTAGATAGCAAGTAATATGGTTGTTATTTTGAAAGTATAGCATCAAGCTCTAATAAAGTTTGATCCCCAGCATGGACTGACTTCCCTTCCATTACACTAGTCTAGCTAAGTACAAAAGTCTAGTTATATGTGAAGTTCAATGTTGCTTGATGACTGTTTATATCGAGCTGGAACCTCAAAAACTTCTTAAAAGTTCATTTGGCTAGAAACTTTTGCACTCTTTAAGCATAAAAGGGAGCAGGAGCAGGAGCAGCAAAATAAAATGGATCTGTACCTGTTTAAACAGCAACTAAATAACAGTGAAAAGAATGGTGCACAAAGAAGAAATTCCAATAGCCTGAGATCCAAATCCTTTGACAATCCAATGTAAGATAACTCGCATTTAGAAGTAGAGAGAACAAACTCCAAATAATTCAGGAAAAAATAAATTGCCTTCAAAGCAATGACAGGAGATTAGCACTTTTAACACTACAGGTCATCTTCCAAACTCGCTCCAGCGGAATCTAGGCATGACCTAAAATCACTGCCATCCAAATCGAGTTCGACTATGTTTTTCCATCTCATTTGTAAAAAGGGGTCTCAAGGCATGACTAAAGCAATTTTTACCATCACATACTATCACGATAACCATTGACAGGTTCCGAATATTCAAATTTTGAAAGTTTAACAGATTTCTTTCAGATGGCATCTACAAGGTGACTTTCAGGATCAAATATCTGAGAAAACATACATTCTTCACAGAAGGAGAACTGGCTCAGATTAGGCATCAAACATACCAAATGACTTGAACATAAAAGTGAAGAAAAGAGGAATACGAAAAATATTAAAAAAATAACAGCTCGAAGTTTAGTATGCTTTAATACAACTGGAATGGCGTGGTGTTCAATCCACTTAGATTGACAACCAGAAATATAGTGATTACTGAGAGTTTCCAAAGACTAAAGTCCAGAATCAAACTCAGATAGTTAAATTTTTAATTCAAAATCCTATGATTAGTATTTAAGCAAAATGCCAGAAAAACTGTCTGCATAACATCATATATCGGAATAGTATATTAGTTAGCTGCCAAAAAACTAAGTTCTTGTCTCATAATGTAGATGACCAAAACAGGCATGTGTTGGAATGTTTGATGCAAAAATTTTCTATAAACCTCCAGATCGTATGAAAATGATCTTCCTCTTGACCAGGAATCACATATGTAAATTCTCATTACTTAAAGACTATCCGTAAATGAATCATCAAAAAAGAGAGAGAGAGAGAGACGACTAAGTTCTTAAAACTTTAAAATTTTCACTTGCTTCTTAAAAGTATCAACCATTTCGATCTGAAGCATGTGAACTCTGACTCACAGTCTCAGATGTACACTCTAAGAGAAACATATCCAAAGTTAAATTGGGTAATCATTCAGACATAAAGAATCCTGATCACAGGTGGAAGCAAAGAATCATTGCCTTCTTAAAAACTAGCAAGTTTGACCCAACTACCAAGATTGCCTAGTCAACACTTAGATTGAGTCATGCCCCCAGACGGAAGCAAACTCAAAATCATGCCCCCAAATGGAGGTAAAGATCATCTATCTAGATGTGCACGTCTGATTAAGAAAGATAAAATAATACTAGAAAGTCATACCCAGAAACCCTTCAAAGCTGAAGAAGGCATAAGTATTTGGATCATATCACCAGAATAGTGGGATACACTGATCCTATTTAGGAGAACCTGAGGTACACGTAGAACTATAAAAGCAAAGCACACCTCTGAAGCATAAGTGGAAGCCAAAACTTTGATATAGCAATCATGCTTCACACTGCCTCAGTAGAGTTAGATGAAGTCCATGGAGTCAAGCTGAAATTTAGGGCATAATGAGAAATCATTAGGCATGGCAGCAGAATCTAAGAGGACCTGCAGACAATTGCTATATCAGCTCTAAAATTATTAACTTGTACATTTTCCTGGTGTACTTCACACAGTGTTTTTAAATCTATTTGTACCCATTACATCAATGCACATTTCTTTTCATTTTCTAATATTTTATTGGGATCCTTATGAAACTAGTTGTATTTATACCCTTCGCTTGTAGTGTAAAAATTTTCCGTTAACAAAAATTAAAATCAAATTTCCCCATCCATTTCAAGAACTCTAACATTTGGGTCTACTTCAGTAGACAACAAAGCTTTCAAAATGGATGTTCTATAACTTCCCAAGGCTGAGACTCTAAGCTTTATAAAGAAACCAGTCTTTCCTCTTTTAAGCTAGCAACAAACGGACAACAATTCCAACTCCGAATAATGGGGAGTGCAGCCATGAACAAGGGTCCAGCCATTTGGTGGGAAATGAGGGAGGCACTCACATAGGTTGAGTTTCGATGGGTCCTTAACTTGCACTATTTCCCAACATCTGGACACAGTGACCTATGCGAACAGTACTCAATCTTAAGAATTACTTTTTGATTTCTAATCTTATTTAATGACTGGAAAACATGTTGAATTCGATGTCTAATTGGCCAACAAATGTGAAAATATTGATTCACAATAACTTGTAATTCTCAAGAATCAAGTTCTCCCATATCATCAGATCTTAAGTACACTTCAGTCCAAAAATCACTTCCAGTTTTCCACATGTCAAATAATTTTCCATTGCCTTCTTGTTTCTGTTTTTAATTTCGACGCACCAGCTGCTCGCTACCAAGCTCTGTGTATATTAACACTATCTACCATATAGAATACGTAATAATTTCAAGAACATATCAGTCTTGCTATTAGCCCATCTCAAAGCAAGCATAAGTGGAGAGAGCAGAGTCAAACGTAAGATATAGCCCTCCTGCCCGACCACCCTAACTAGTCATATTGGCATGTACTTATTGTCCGCATTGTTGAGTGCGAAATGAATCATTATGAAATTAGTACCAGATAAAACACATTTCAATAATTCAATTCAATCATTAACTTATCCATCTAATATTACACACTTAAGTACCTTCAGCTTATGGATTACAATCTTTGCAAGACTAACATTTTTATTTGAATATGGAAGAAAATTTAGAAATTTAGGTCAATTATCATAAAAAAAAAAATAGTATTGCACCACCCAAAATAGATAGAAAAATGCTTCCACCACCACAACAAAAGAAAGCTAAACATAAAATTCAAATGTAAAGAAACGGGAAGGTAAATTAGCTTTCATTCTTGTTGGCACTAATATGCAATTAATCCACAACACATTTACAAAGATCATCATATTATTGAAGCGACAAAGACTGGAATCCCTACCCAATTTACAAAGAGAAACATTTAATAGATATAAGTTTAATCAGTGAAACCTGTCTTTCGCCAAACAGCACTGCGCACCTGCCTCAGATCTCGTCCTTTCAGTGTCCGACCAGCACCCTCGAGGACCGAGCAAGCCAATATGGGCGAATGCGTGGCTGCCACCATCTCGTGTGGCGGAACAACCTCCCCCTTTCCCTCCTCCTCAACGTCATCAACCACATTGAAAAACTCATTTCGTCTCCTCTGCATTGCCGCCGGCAGTATTGGAACATTCACCGGTGCTGATTGATGATAAAATCCCATCTTATCCGCCACGTTCGTGGGCCTTTTCGGAAGTGAGGGGATCATAATTCGAGACGAAGATGAAGAGGAAGGAGAAGAAGATGTCGAGGAGGCGAGTGACGCGGAGGTGGATGCCTTGTGGTTGAAAACCGCTCCGGTTTCACTGCTGGGTCGTGTTTTGAAATCGCCACTTCCACCAGTTAGCGCTTCTAAGATGCCAAATTTACTATGATTATGAACTTGATAGTTCGATTTAGGGCTCGGAACCGAACTCGGGGAGGAGGATTCAGAGGGGATCTCGAAGATTTCATGTTCGGTAAGCTCGAACGAGGGTGTAGAGGATGTGGTGATCGGCGATTGGAATATTCCGATGAATCTGTCAGCGGAGGGTGACCTACCGTGGTGGTACATGTACCGGCGGTGGCGGGACCGGGTAGCGCCGCCGAATTTTGGTTCCATACCAGTATCTGTGTCTGTGTAGAGTGGGTGGTAGAGTGAGGAGGAGACGTGGAGTTGTTGGCATGGCAAGGACGAATGTAAATTAGCCCAATGTGGATGGAATCAAGTGCATTTGTATATATTGCAGTTGCATACAACCTGTTCTTCGTATTGTTGTACATTCAGGGCGTTGACCTTTATTTTCAAAAGTACAAGAACTCAATGTGATTGCACTGAATAGATAGAACAATGCAGGATAATAAAATAAGAAGGGTCGGGCCAGCCGATCGGCATGGTGATCGTAAATGGACCGGACCATTTATAGATTGTCGTGAAGGAATGTAATAGATTATGGTACGAGAAGTTTGACTTAACTATAACATCATTCGGATTTAAACATAATAGCGTAGATAGATGTTTATATTCTAACGTGTATGACGATTATGTGACATTCATATATTTATATGTTGACGATATGTTGATTATGAGTAATCACATAGACGGTATACAAGAAACAAAGAGGTTTCTATCTTTAACAAAATGAAGGATCTTGATCAAGTGGATACCATTTTAATTATCAAAGTTACAAAGACTAGTGGGGGTTATCACCTAAGTCAATCACATCATATTGAAAATGTGATAAACAAGTTCAAACACTTGAACTTAAAAGAACATAGTACCCCAATCGATCAAAGTTTAAAACTTGTAAAGAATGATGGAAGGGCAATTACTCAATTGGAATATGCTAATGCTATAGGAAGTCTTATGTATGCAATTCAATGCACAAGACCAAAACATAGTCTATACCATAAGTAAATTTAGTAGGTTTACTAGCAATCCGAGTAATAATCATTGGAAGGCCATTGGAAGAGTTCTTGGATACTTAAAGAAAACCAAGAATTTGGGCATGCAATATACTAAATTTTCGGCGGTATTGAAAGGATTTACCGACGCTAGTTGGATATTTAGCGCGGGTAAGAGTAAATCCACTTTGGGTTGGGTGTTCACTCTTGGAGGAGGTGCTGTTTTTTGAAAATCAAAGAAACAAACATGCATAACACACTCGACCATGGAATCTGAATTTGTAGTCAAATCAAATACTGGGAAAGAGGCTGAGTGATTTAAGGATCTCCTTTATGAGATACCTTTGGGATCAAAGAACATTGCTTCAATACCTATCATGTGTGATAATCAAGCCACGTTAACAAAGGCATACAATGAAGTATACAATGGAAAATCTAGACATATGAGTCTAAAACATAACTACATAAGGAAATTAATCAAAGATGGAGTAATTTCCCTAAATTATGTAAGGTCCATTGAGAATTTAGCAAATCCTTTGACTAAACCTCTAAACAAAGATTTAGTAGCATCTACTTCGAATAGGATGCAGTTAAAACTCCTTAACTAAAAAGGTTTACCAATGACAGTGACCCTACCGGTCATTACTCAAAAGGTAATTTACGGGTTCAAAGGGTAACAATAAGTCATTCGATATGTGGATAGTTACAACATTATTGAAATCCGCAATAGTCCTATCCTAATTAAAATAATGCTGGTTGTTACTGAAATGAGGGATGGGCTTTAAGTTCTTAATAAAATTCGGTTCTAAAACGCAAGTATCTTTAAAAGTAACAAAGGTATTGGAAGAACTTCACTTAAACAATCTTTAAGGTGGTGCTGCCTTAATAGAGAGTTGGAGTTTCTCTCTTAAAAAATTGTTGAAAAAGATAAGCGCAAGACCATAAAAGCGCTAAGCGAGTTATGAGGAACTTGAAAACACTTGGTACTCGTGTGTGTGTTCTTACCGATATAGTTATATGGAATAACTGGTTCAAAACTACACGCTACCTTTGATTCCGATTATACTTTGTTTGAACTACATTATGGTCAGATTCAAATCGAAAGATATTTAAACATTATGCATGAGTATCATATACTTTGAATATGAGACTTGTTAATTTTGAACAAGTGGGGGATTGTTGTGATTATGTTGTTCAAAAAAAAAATAAAAAAAAAATAAATTGGCCATATGCCAAGACCAAATGGTCTCGGCATGGGTAAATCATGCGACCGCATGGGTTTGTACTTTTTGACCCTTTTTTGCCGTTGCAAATTTTAAATTGATGACTTTTCACTTGATTTTTTAGCACAATTTCATACTCCTGGTCGATGGCTATATATAGGAGAGTCATGTTTGAGGGAAAGATGTTAAGAAAAATATCTTGCAATCCATACTTTGTTCCAAGAACAATCAAAATCCCTATTTACATTCATATTCAACCCTTGTGTTCTTCAAGTTTTCGAGAGTTTTCACTTGTATTTTGGTGATTAATTCTTGTTAAGGCTTGTTAAAATCCAAAAATCATTTGCCATCAACCTTCGAAGCATCTCAAATCAATAGGAGAAGGAACAAATATCGTTTAAGGACAACGATATCATGTTCAAGCCATTCGTCGATACAAGTTCGTGATTATCTTATTATTGACATTGCCGGTTCATGTTTCGTGATTTCTACTCCAACTCGGTGAAATTTTTACAACAGGGACTCGTGGTTTGTGGATTCGAATGGATTTTGATTCGTTTCAATGTAAAACAATGTATGAAGTGAGACAAACCAGTTTTCGGGCTGGAGTGGTCGATCTGGTTTGATTTTAATAAACTATGAAATGGAGCTTCAATAAAAATAGTTCTTTCCTTCTCAGTGACAAAGCACAAACATTTATTGTAAAATCTGAAGAGATAATATAAGAAAATGATTCAGAGTTTCAACAATGGAGATTTTAATATTCTAGTTCTTGGGTGCAAGGCCTGCCTTGAGCTTCTGAATGGTGGCAACATCAGTTTTGAAAGAAAGGGCCAATACATTGTCATCTATGCTGGTGTTGAACAGAGCGTTGGGAAGGGACACAGTTCCAGCATTTGAACTCCCAAAGGCAGAGATAGCCAAAGCAGGAACTTTGGTATCAGCATTATACTGGAAATGCACCAGTCCCTTTGGGAAAACAAAGAGGTCACCAGGCTGAAGTGTCTGAGTGAAGAGCTTGTTTGTAGTGTCCACAAATCCCACCTCGAGAGAACCCTCAGAAAGGAAGAGGAGCTCAGCCGAGCGCGGGTGAGTGTGAACGGGGTTGATAGAACCAGAAGGGAAGAGAAGGACAGCATAGGAAACACTCTGGCCGTTGAGGGCAGGGAATTCTGCCAAGCTTGCTTTGAAAACTTTGAAAGTCAGGGGAGGTGGAGCCGCGACAAGGACTCTCATCCCGGTGAATGTAAAGAAGTTCCCATCAACGTTTGTCAAATTCATTGGCAATACAAAGTCTGAGGATATCGGGATCTCCAGCCATAGCCATTTGCACTATTGCAAGTGAAGCCACTGCTAGAAAGAATAGTTTTTTGCTATACGCCATTGATAGCAATTGTAATCTTATGGATATAGATGAGGAATGGATAAAAATCGGTGGGAGCTATAGGCCTTATTTATAGAGCAATAAGAAGCGAAGGATTGAACACAGGGAGAGCACAAAATGCAGATATACCTGGTGTAGATGAAATTGAAGAATACGGCTTAGTGAAAATCAAGGAATAGCTGGCAGTCCAACCCCAACTTGGCCTATTTTGGAATGCAGCTGTTGGTACAGACTATAAATTACAAATAAATAAAGTCTAATCTAATTACCAAAATAAGTGGCCTCATATCGGTGTCTTAATTGGGTCAACTTTTAGTAATGGATTCGTTCTCAAGACATTTTCTACTTGGATTTCTAGCCATCTTTGCCACTTCTTGGTTGGTCCAAGCAAGTGATCCGGATATTTTGTCCGACTTCATAGTGCCACCCAATGTCCCTGCACCATATGGAAACTTCTTTACCTTTAATGGCCTGCATGGAGTTTTGGATTCCATCCCACCAAATTTCAAGGTAACAAAAGCGATCAAGGCAGAATTCCCTCCCACAACTTTGTGACTGATGTGGATGACACAGTTCTTGCCAAGTCAGGTTTTGCATCAAAGGCCTAATCTGAAGATCTGGTTGGATTTGAAAACTGTGATTTTTCTTTTTCTCGTTCTTTTCTATTAATTCCAGGCATTTGAAGCATATTTATGTTTGTTTTCATATTCGTCCTAGTAGCAATGCAGTTCCAATAAAATATCTGTGTTGTATAGACAAAGCAAAGCCATTATATAACTCTGCAATGAAAAAAATAAATAGACGCCTAGCAATTGACGGATAAAAATTCTCATATTCCCCATTTTTGTCAAATTAACTGGAAGATATAATTTACCTTTTTTCACATTTCTTTAATATTTTACAATCATGTCTATATTAGCACTACATTCTCTAATATTTCTTTCAAGTTTATCATTAGATTTAATTCATAGTGATTTCAATAATTGATTGTAAAAGATACATTATAGTTTAAATTTTGAAAGCTACTATTTGAACCATGTAGATTTACTATATTTGGTCCGTAAGAGCCAATCAAACCAGTTTAGTGACCAGATCGCCAGTTTCTACACCAACTGCCATATTTTCTTATCTTGCCTTCTTTAGGAAATCTTAAAAAAAAAAACAAGTGAAGCTCAAATATTTAAATGATGCTCGAAAAATATTCTAAAAAGAAAGATAATAAATGCTCTAATAGCTTGTTGATTTAACTGGATACTGAAAATTTGGGTTCATTTCAGAGAAAATCTCACAATGTTTTATTGAATAATCAAACACATCTAAGAACAAAACAAAATCAAGCCTAAATTTCGAACATACTGTCAGAAAACCATTTAAAATTTCTGCCTGTCATATATTAGGCTTTGCTTTATCTATTTTACATCAGAATATTTATTAAAAGAGCTTTGAGATAAATTTAATCAACGAAAAAGAATGAGACAAAGCACAATCATATTTTGGAATTGACTCGAAGATTCATTCTAGGCCTGCGTGCAAGACCTGCCTTGAGCTTCTGGATGTAGTGACATCAGTTTTAAAGGACTTGGCAAGAACCGTGTCATCCACACCAGTGGCAAACAAAGTTGTAGGAAGTGAAGCAGCGCCAGTATTCACGCTACCAAAAACAGAAACTGCAATAGCAACTTCTTTGGGATCAGCATTGTACTGAGAGTGAACTAGTCCCTTTGGAAACACTCTGTCCATCCATGGCAGGGAATTCAGTCTTACTAGCTTTTGTTACCTTGAAATTTGGTGGGGTGGAATCGGAAACTCCATACAGGCCGGTGAATGTAAAGAAATTTCCATCTAGTCCATTGACATTTGGAGGGACTGAAGTCGGATAAAATATCAGGATTGCTTGCTTGGACCATCCAAGAAGTGGGAAAGATGGCTAGAAAGCCTAGTGGAAAATGTTGGTTCACTGAGAATGAAGCCATTGTAATGGTAAGTTGGCTCGATGAAGGCAATGCAATGAGGCTACTCGATAGTGAGTTTGTTAATTGTTATGGTGATTAAAGTAGACTTGAGTACTTGTCATTTATATTGTGTACAGCAGCTTATCCCAAAAGGAAAAATTCCAGTTGGATTGGCCGGCTGTGCCTTGATCTTCACTAAACACATGTTCTTCAATTGTATTAACATCTCAATTGCATAAACTTTCACAGCCTCAAGCCTTTAATCAAATTGGGACATAATGAACTTGAAATGAAATAAAACTGAAGTACACCTTTATTTGCTTCAATATTATGATGAACATTGGGTATAATTTCACACTAGAAAAAGTGAAAAGAAGTTGGAATTTGAAAGTATAACAGAAATCAAATTACGCGTTTATGAGTTGTAAAAGTTATTTTCATACAAATAAAGCCTGCACAACATTGGAGTAAACCTCACTGCTTGTAGTTTCAACATCAAAACTGCAACATTGTAAGATACAAATTTATAAAATTTCCGTGTATTGCGTAGGACAGAAAATCCACTCTCATTTTCGTCCAGGATGGGGAAGTATCGGGAGGGAAAAGAAACAAAATGAAATAAAAATGTACCGACGCCTAAATATTTTTAATTTTTATACTATGAAAAATTTCTAAGAAATTTCGTTAGCCTAATAACAGAATAAAACAACTCCAATCCCAAGAAACTCATTTGATAGTTATAAATGCAGCCTGTCACCTGCTCAGCAGGATTTCGGAGTGTACAACCCATTGGCCTTGGTAACAATATTTTCAATTCAAATCTTATAATAAGGCTTAAAGCTCCTACCAAATTTTTTCAAATTCATAAATATATACAATTGCTATCAATGGCGTATAACAAAAAACTGTTCTTTCTAATGGTGGCTTCACTTGCCATAGCCCAAATGGCAATGGCTGGAGATCCCGATATCCTCACAGACTTTGTATTGCCAACGAATTTGAGAAACCTCCCCCAACTTTCAAAGTCGTGAAAGCAAGCATGGCAGAATTCCCCGCCCTCAATGGCCAGAGTGTTTCCTATGCTGTCCTTCTCTACCCAGCTGGTTCTCTCAACCCCATTCACACTCACCCGCGATCGGCTGAGTGTTAAGGGAATAAATTAACCGATGTGGGATTTATTTTCTTAACATGCCCCGCAAGAGGTGGCTCTTTTTTGAGCAGACCAATCTTGAAATTCGTGTGCTCATTTTTTAGACTTAATCGGATCGAATAGTTCGTTGGAACTTACTGAGCTCTGATACCATGTTAAGATTTGGGGTCCATCTTAATAAGGTCAACCTTATTAAGAAGAGTGGCCCAAGATCTATTTAAGTTGGTCAATATTTCGGTAATTAACCGATGTAGGATTTATTCCCTTAACACTGAGCTGCTCTTCCTTGCTCAGGTTGCGCTCGAGGTGGGCTTTGTCGATACCACAAACAAGTTCTTCACACAGACACTTCAGCCTGGTGACCTCTTTGTTTTCCCTAAGGGACTAGTCCATTTTCAATATAATGCTGATGAAAAAATTCCTACTCTGGCTATCTCTGCTTTTGGGAGTTCAAATGCTGGAACTGTCTCTCTCCCCGACACTCTGTTCAACACCAGCATTGATGACAATGTATTGGCGCTTTCTTTCAAAACTGACGTTGCCACCATTCAGAAGCTTAAGGCAGGCCTTGCAACCAAGAAATAGAATAATAATATTGCCATGGTTTAGTAGTCTAAGTTGAAACTCTTGAGTCCTGTTCTTGTTTGTTCAACTTCTATAATAAATTTTTTTCCTTGTCACTGAGAATGAAAGAACTGCCATTCTTCATTAAACATTCTGTATTTGGTAGTTATGAAAATTGGATTAGGCCAGTCCAGCCGATGTACAGGTTACTTTAGGCACCAGCTTACATAAGAACTCATCAAAGCGCATTAGTATTTCACTAAACAAGTCACCAAGTTTCAAAAATTCAATCTTGATAATTTAAGTTTAGCTATAAAAAAATCAAGTACTTATTGTAAATAGCCAGTGAATGTAAATCATAGACGAAAATTTCACTCTATTTTTCCTAAACAGAACAAATCAAAGCGCTTATAGTAGAAGATGAAAGGGATGAAACTAAAGTATATTTCAAGTTCTGGAAATTTTTTTGTGGTTCTCAAGCTGTACTATTTAGCAGCGTTCCTGTTAAGAACTCCAGGGTAAAATATTCAACATGTCATTGAACCTTATAACGTGTTTCAAATTGATTGGTGAACTTCTCTTTGTATTCAGATCAATAGAACTTTAAAAAAATTCAATGAAGAGAATACTATAATCAACGTATAAACAATTAGAATGATAAACTCCAAGAATTTCGTATCAATCGTGTCCTTATATATACCTAATAACAGTTACGAAACGGTGAATAATTCGAGAAATACGAAGAATGATGTGATTTCTCCCTCTTTCTATCTCACTTGGTGCTTTTGAGGACCTCTCCGACTTCATCTAGAGCAACCTCCTTAGTTTCCGTACTACCTAGGTCACATATGTTCCTCTATTTGACATGGCACGACCAGGACATGGACTCGAGTTGGCATGATGACTCATCATTAACATCAAAAAATTGATCAAGTCTAAGTCCACATAGAGAGCTCCGGCACAAAAGCTATTTTAAACATAAACCGAGCATCAGGTGCTCAAAAACTCTCAGCAAGACAACTCATCTTGCATTGGGAGTATGTGTCTGCAAATCCAGGAAAAATGGTCCCCATCATCTATTACGAATATCAATGGCACCTCTACTCTAACTTATAGTCTATACGTTCCATTGAGAATTTACTGTAATTCTTCTGGAGGCACAATAATGGACTAAGTATCAGAGTAGGGTCACCCCCATCCACTTCTAGTCATTGAACTATAAATGTACCTTATTTTATGATAATTCAGATTGTCATTTGTGTATTAGCATGTGCAGTGAAAAAATTGAAACCATAAGTTACTCGTTCTATTATCAGAGCTTCATGATTATGATCTGTACTGTTAATCAAAACTGCTGTAACAAATGTGTCTGCATGTTGTTTGCGAAAAATGAAAAACGAGAATCTTTAAAGAACAATGGATGGTTCTTCGTTCATTATGAGGATGATAGGTACTTAATACAAAAGCCATTGCTACAATTAAATTTGGTAAACTAGGCCTTATTAACAGTAGTTGATCTGAAAATATCATAATGAGAACTGGAGGAGGTTGTACCCTCCGAAGGCATGGTAAGTGGATGGCAGACTGCAATGTATGATCTGAAACTACGAAGTAACTTGCTATTTAGGGTCGGCTACAAGAATTCTTCTTTGCCATTTCTTTTCATTTCTTGATCTATAGAGCTTATTATTCTGTCAAATTTCAGCAAAAACACAATATACTTTTTAACGTTGGGAAAGCTGGGTGAGTTGTGTGTAGATAAACATGTCAATTAAAAAATATAAATAACATAATTCAATAATTGCATAAACATAATAATATTATAACAATATAAACATTATAATACAACAATAACAAGAGGGTTAGAATGCAAGCCTTAGAAAGTGATGCCAATAACGCTGTCGTAAAATCGTGTTGGTTTCCCTTCGTGAGGGTATTTTAGGCGCTACACGGCTTCAAGATAATATTCATGTGGCTTACAACTATTTTCCTTCTATTCACACAACCATAGGAAGATAAGTGAACGAGTCTCTTATTGAGTTATCAAAATAGTATATTATAAAAGTGTAGATAGAATAATACTTAAAGTTACTGTATTGTAGTTCTCAAACTTTCTTTTCATATTATATTTTTTAATCTCAATGAAAATCATTCCCTTTTATAGGGTTAATTTTAACCTCCACACATATGAGAATTAAGTTATTTTACCTATATGTTACACTATAGGGATAAATAAATTTAACCTCCACATTTATGGGAATTATGTAATTTAACATGTATATTACACTATAATATTATTAATTTAATTTTGTATTGAATTAATATTAAAATAGAAAAAACAAATTTAAAAGTATTAGTTTGAAAATTTAAAAACATTTAACTCATTTCACTTCAATTATCTCTTCATTTTGTTAAAGTTTAAATGAAAGTAAATGATCATATCTTCTGTAGGCTGGTCGTAGTAGCCAAAAAAAAAAAAGGGGTAAAACCAGGCCTAAAAAATACGAGTATATGGATTCATGAGGGAGAAACGAATAAAAGAATATGCAGTTTGGCGAAACTTTGTTGGAGGAGGGCACAAAATGCAGATATACCTGGTGTTGATTAATTAAAGAACATGTGCTTAGTGAACATCAAGGCATAGCCGGTCAGTACAAACTCAACTTGGCGTATTTGAAACAGCTGCATGCATACCATAAATTACTACTACTATAGTCTATTTTAGCCCCAAAAAAAGGTGTTTTCATTTCATTGCTTTTGGCCAACTTAACATTAACAATGGCTTCATTCTTAGTTACTAAACATTTTCTACTGGGCTTTCTAGTCATCATTGCCACTTCTTGGATTGTCCAAGCAAGTGATCCGGATATTTTATCCAACTTAATAGTCCCGCCAAATGTCACTGCGCCTGATGGGAATGTCTTTACCTTTACTGACCTGCGTGGAGTTTTGGATTCCATCCCACCAGATTTCAAGGTAACAAAAGCCAGCAAGGCAGAATTCTCTGATCTGGGCGGCCAGAGTGTTTCAATGGCGGTACTGCAGTTCCCTGCTGGTGGAGTTAATCCCCCTCACAGGCATCCACGTGCTGCAGAACTCTTGTTTGTCGTAGAAGGCTCTCTAGAGGTTGGATTTGTCGACACAACTAACAAACTCTTCACCCAAACACACCAAACCGCGGATATTTTTGTATTTCCAAAGGGACTGGCGCACTATCAGTACAATAGCGATCCCAAAGAACCTGCCATTGCAGTTTCTGCTTTTGGTAGTGCGAGTTCTGGCACAGCTTCACTTCCCACAACTTTGTTTGCCACCGGAGTGGATGAAACAATTCTTGCTGAGTCCTGCAAAACTGATGTCATTACCATTCAGAAGCTCAAGGCTGGTCTTGCACCCAAAGCCTAGTCTGAAGCTTCCAATTGATTTTCAAAATGCAATATTGACTCTTTCTAATTGTGGTGTAGCATTCAATTTTTCTGATCTAATAAAATATCTCTATTATTCTCTATAGACATGTTTCCTGGATAAAACAAAGATGATGAGTTTATAATGTAGTGTTCAATGATTATTACAACTACAATGCGGAAAAACAAACTCTCAAAAGTGTACAAAATCATAACCAACCAGCTCAAATCCTTTTCAACCTCACCAACAATGTGTCTTGTGATCTTGAGCTCAGATTTGTGTCACACCATATCATGTACTGTCGTCCACTAGAATGACAATGGATATATTGAGAAGAATCAACCTGAGGCCACCAAGAATTTTCCTCGGAGAAATTTTCCTCTCCCACTTGATTCCCTCTTTATGCTTTCTCTATTTTTGTTTCGCCCAATCCAAGTGAAACAAGTGATACACATATAACTATAGAGCCAAAACCATTTGAATTCAAAATTCAAAACCAATGACAAGTGATACAACTAGATGATAAAAAGTGACCACAAGTCAGAAAATTCAAATTGAATCTACAAACCCAAACTCAATTACATTTCATAGTGCACAATGCCAATGAATATTGAATGAATTAGCTTCATTTTACACAATAGAACTTGAAATAGTGGAAGCACTTTGGAAGACAAAGAACCCAACTAGAGAAGTCGAAACCATTGGCAAAGGCTGCCACTGACGAATTTGATAATGGATCAAGAGCTTGTTTTATATCAAGTATGTGCTCTTGGATACTTAAATGGAGATAAGTGCAACTTTTCAAGCTCCTTTAGCTTTTGAATTAAATGGAGCTTGCTCTTAGTCGTTTCTTTGCAGCTATGAGAGTGTTGTGCTACAAAATACTCAAACTCAAATTTCCACTAAGTTTGTATACTGCAACCATAAAGGATGTCAAAGTCTCTTCAAAAGATATCATAGACTATCTCACAAGAACAAAGTGCGAACGTGGCTCCTTTTGTAAAAGTTTAAAGAGCTCTCTATAAAAAAAATAGAGATCTCAACTAATATAAAATAGAGAACAATAAGTAAAATTGCATAGTTTGACACATACATACATCCACGTGATGGACAAAAACACCTTTACGAAACCAAAGGGTAGAACATTCTTTGAACGTCCTATTAAACATGAGGAACGTGTGGATACAAATATTTGCCTCTTTTGAGCCTTGTTTTCATATGATCATGTAACTTTGCATTTTCCTGTCACTTTCATATAATCAACAGACTAAGTTCAATCACTTGCAAAAATATGTCATACCTAGTATCGACATTGCTAAAATAAAATGATTATGATAAAATTTAATATTTGTCTTATAATTAAATTTGTCTCATTTCAAAAGCTATCACAAGTCATTTGACTTTCATCATTTGAAAAACATAAAACTAGCTAATGCTCAGTAAGCAAACTATTTAGTATACTTATGTTATAACTTAATTTTAAATAAATAATTGTAATTTGTAAGCAATAGAACACCGAAATTAGAGTAAACAACTTTCTCATAATACCAAAACTGTAAGAAAGGAAAAAAATATGTATAAAATAAAACAATGAAACACCTAACCCACATTGAAATTGGAGAAAACTGCAGCAACGATCCTTAACCTCTCACTTTTTTGTAGATTTTATCATAATCTTCAATTTGTGTCATCCACAATTTCAAACCTTTCAAGAATATGTACCTGAGGTCCAAATGAATGGAAACCGTCTAGTTGACCAAGGAAGGCGGACTTTGACTAATTTTGACCAAATTGAAATGGGTCAAACGATAAATTTGCTATTATATACATTAAATAATTTTAAAACTATAAATAAAATCAAAGAGAAAAGAAATAAAAATTAAAAATCATCGTCTTCCCCACCCTTTTGCTATTGCTGCTGACCCCAATTGGGCTTGCTTGCTCAAACTTCACCAGAGGCTCCATCTCAACTAGTCTTGGCACCTCTAGTGGCGTATTGCAACGTATCAGAGCCCAATTAACACGTTCGAAGAAAGGGTGCTGTTTTATCTCTGTTGCACCTCTCTTCACCCCGATTCGTTGTTGTGGATCTTTAACAAGTAGTTCACGGATAAGATCCCGACTGGCATAACTGGTTGTAGGTGAGTCTAGAAATTTAAGTTGGTGCCCGACTACATTGAAGAGGGTTGCTCGATTCCCCGATCCTTTAAATGGGGTTTTACCATAGAGTATTTCACGTAAGAAAATACCAAATGTCCACGAATCCACCGCACTTCCATGGCCTTCTACCTTAATGATTTCAGAAGCCAAGTATTCATGGATGCCAACAAAAGATAGGGACCGTGCTGCAGTGGGTTCTGCAACTAGATCAGATAGCGTATCGGATCGGATCGGATGGGATGGTGTGGGGTGGGGTGGGGTGCGATTGAGGAAGGCGATGATTTTTAATTTTTATTTCTTTTCTCTTTTATTTTATTTCCTTTTGTTTTATTTATAGTTTTTAAATTATTTTATGTATATAATAACAAATTTATCATTTTACCCATTTCAATTTGGTCAAAATCAGTCAAAGTTCACCTTCCTTGGTCAACTAACGGTCAATTTGACGATTTCCATCCATTTGAACCTCATATGCATATATTTGAAAGGTTTGGAACTGTGTATGGCACGAATTAAAAGTTAGGGTAAAGTCTGCAAAAAAATAAAATGTTAGGGACCGTCGCTGCAATTTTCCCTTGAAATTGGTCTAAAACATATCAATCCTTCAATTTGAGTCCTAAAGAAAGTGAAGCAAACCAATAATGGCGGAAGGCAGAGTAGTTATCGTCTCAGCTCTACAATTCGCTTGCTCCGATGATGTCTCCACAAACGTAGATGCTGCCGAAAGGTACGTTTTCACTTTAAGCAAGTTAAATCTTTTAAATTTTTTCATTTCCAGATTTAGTTCTTAGTTTAAACACCGTGTTTTAATTGCATTTGAGCTATGATAGACATGTCGAAATAATTAATCGGTGATTGTACGACTGATCTGTAAGCAGAAATTTCTGACCTTGTTGAGTATTCATTGTTTGAGAAATTTTTGAGTTAAGCTGTGTTAGCTTCTCTTTCAAGACCGAATAGTGTAGTATTATAGAGTAGATTAAATATCAAATCGACGCCTTTCCATTGTACCAGAAAAAATGAGAACTGAGGAGCGGCGGCCCTCTCCCTGGCTCGCCAACCAGGTAAATCGGATGCGGTCCCAGCTTATAGAGATGTTTGGAAAGCGATTCTTCTCCCTGTGAACTCCCCTTTACGACTTGTAGATAGACCTTCAGAGGGATGACAAAGCGCACTGTGACGGTCTCTATAGGACATCTTCCTTCCAACATAAATGTTGCTTTCTAGCTACCGCAGGAAGAACTCCTGCTTTACCATATGCCCTTATATATGGATTAATGTGTCGTTAGTTGGTTATTAATCATGCTAATTACTACTACTCACATAGACAGAGAGACACACACACACAGAGAAGGGGACATAAACTATTCATGTGAATGTTATATTTGTGTTCTGAAGCAAACAATTCCCTAATCCTTAAGTAAAGGCAGTTGTGTGGAATTTGGATATGGCAAAGCAGCCATTAACTTGAATCTCTGTTGGATTGGTCTCTGCAGGATCAGAATCTTTATAATATTGAAGGAGCAGTTAGAAATAATATTATTCTAGCTGCAGCTCATGTTTCAAATATAAAACATTTTGTATTTTTATGAAAATTTCGTGGCATTTGCATACAGTGTCATGAAGAGTTCTTTGATGCAGATTGGTTAGAGCAGCTCATCAGAAGGGTGCAAAAATCATTCTTATACAGGAGTTATTTGAGGGCTATTACTTCTGTCAAGCACAAAGGGAGGATTTCTTTAAGCGAGCTAAACCTTATAAGGAGCACCCCACAAAATTGAGGTGAGAATGTTTAAATATTTGGCTTCAAAATGTGGACGTTGACTTCAGCTAAACTCAGTCTTTGTGGCTAAATCTCTGCTGTTCACAGGATGCAGAATCTTGCGAAAGAATTGGGAGTAGTAATACCGGTTAGCTTCTTTGAGGAGGCAAACAATGCACATTACAATTCAGTGGCTGTAATTGATGCTGATGGGACTGATCTTGGACTTTATAGAAAGTCCCATATACCAGATGGTCCAGGTTTGCCAACAGTGGATGTCTAATCTAATTTGATAAATTCGGTGATAAGCTTAAATTACAGCGCATTATATTTCTCCCAGGTTACCAGGAGAAATTTTACTTCAATCCAGGTGACACTGGTTTCAAGGTTGGTGTCGATAAGTTTAAAATCCAAAGATGATATTTCTTATATTTGTTTAATATATTTTTATTTTAGTTATGATGGTTGATTATGATTTTTCGATCACTTGTAATATTGATTGACAGGTATTTCAAACTAAATTTGCCAAAATTGGAGTAGGTAAGATTTTCTTTATTTGTTGATCAGCAAAAATTATAAATAATAAAAGATTTTCTTTACTTCAACCTGATATTACAGTTTTTTATCTAATTAATGGTATTCTAAAAAGCCAACTTTCAAACTTCTTTTGTATATCGACTTCAGCTTAAACTGAAAACTGCCAGTGACAGATGAGTTAAAGTGGGAGATTCTGTATCTCTCTACTAATTGTATTGGAATATTCAGTATGCTTCCTGTTTATTCCTTTATCAGGAATTTGCTGGGATCAGTGGTTTCCAGAGGCAGCTCGTGCTATGGCACTTCAAGGTGCAGAAATATTGTTCTACCCCACTGCTATTGGTTCTGAACCTCAGGATGATGGCCTAGATTCTCGAGATCACTGGAAGCGAGTAATGCAGGGGCATGCCGGGGCTAATTTGGTGAGTCCCTAACTTAATTTACAGATTGCTTCTGTAACTAATTTTTATAAGGGGACCATAATTATTTGAACTATCTTATCTAAAAGCTTAAAATGTTAAGAGAGCAAAATGCTTCTTTTTTTTTTTTTTAATTTACATTATGCCACCTGCCCCTCTATGTGCAGAATATATTCATTTTTCTACTAAAGGTCTTAACAAGTGCAACATTATCAACCCTGCATTGTTTAAATACTAGTTTCCTTGAATTGTAAACCCTTCAATTAGCTAGCCGGACTCATCAAGGCACTTGGACTACGAAACAATCAATTCTTTTAATATTATGACTTATTCACTTTGTTGTTCGCTATAATATTCATTTTCAGGCTCCCTTTATCTGTCTTCCTGATGCACTTTGCCTATCAGAATAGGCTGAATAAAGAAGACGAACTATTTCTGCTTTTAGGCTATGGATTCAGAAAAGGCTTATGGACCGACCTCCATAGGATGGAATTTCTTTAGGAATTTAGGTTGAATTATCATCTTATTTTATGATGGTCAATAAAACAAAAGAGTACTTGGCACTTGCCCCTTTCCTGACTGTTGAGAGAATATATTGATGCGTGAGGATGTTTTAGTGGAAAAATCGATAAAAGCTTTTCCAATCCAGTGGTACTGCTTATATTGAGTTACGTTCAGGATTGGACAAAGGTAACATTATCCTCTTGGGTTTACTTTATGCCCCATCTTGTAGGTAATTGATGTGGAAACAAAAAGGAAATCTTCTCTTTTAGTATGCTTTGAGGACTTCTTGTAATGAAGCGAACATAACCTTTTTATATCAATTTGCATTGTTATGGTATTGTCATCTGGATAATTTCTAGGTGGGTGATAGGCTTAAATGCATTCAGGTACCTTTAGTTGCTTCAAACCGAATAGGAAAGGAGATAATTCAGACTGAACATGGCAAAAGTGAGATCACATTCTACGGGAATTCTTTCATAGCAGGTAAGCTTATTAAGAATTAGCTAGAATTTTCAAAGTTGCAAGTACACATCATAATATTCACAGCTGAGGACTTTCAAACATGCCGCTCTGTTGAGCAGGACCCACAGGAGAAATAGTTGCCACTGCTGATGATAAAGAAGAAGCAGTTCTTGTCGCAGAATTTGATCTGAATAAAATTAAATCCAAGAGATATAGTTGGGGGGTGTTTCGTGATCGGCGTCCGGACTTATACAAGGTTCTTTTGACCTTAGATGGCAGCAACATATCTCTATGATTTATCAATGCTTTTTGATGGAGATGATTCAAGCCTGTTTATTTCTTTCGTTTTTCTATGGTGGATTGATCAATTGAGAATAATATGTTTGAACATTGGTCTAAAGAGCTATGTAACAGCAATATATAATGTGCTTGAAAAATGAATAGTCTTTCTCATGTTTTATATTTTATTATTGAAAAATAATAATAATAATAATAA